CAAACAAACAAACAGGAAAATAAAATACACAAAAATTGGACGACACCTTGCTTTAAAAACGACTGGGTAATTGAAGTAATAAGGAGTGAAAGTTTTAAAAAGTCCTCAAAACATATCGGATCCAAACCTTCAGGACACAGTAAAAGCCGTCTTCAGAGAGCAATTTCAGCCATGAGCACACACAGAAAAGAAAAAGAACCAAAAGCAATGCCTAGCTAACATCTTCAAGTCTTACAGCAAAAGCAGCTAAAGAACCCTTAGCCACCAGAAGGAAAAAATAGGTTAGATGGGAGGAGTACCGTGGTGCCGTCAGGTAAGCAGTTAGACTGCTAACCACAAGTTGGTGGTTCAAACCCACCACCCATCTTTCTCCCATATAGGCTCACTGTGAGTTGGAATTGACTAGATGTCAGTGGGTTTGATATGACCTGGAGGAGAGTGTGTGGGGGAAGAGCTCTAAATGAAATAAAATATATTTAAAAAAAATAGGTTAGAGCAGAAATCAATGAATCTGAAAATTTTAAAAACAATAGAAAAAATTCAACAAGAAGTGGATTCTTTGAAAGGAATAACAAAACTGGCAAACCAGCAGAAAACAAAGAAAAAGGAGAAGATGCAAATATGATCAATAAGAAATGAAAGAGACAATATCACAACAGAACCAACTGAAATAAAAAAGATAACGCCATACTATGAAGAACTATAGTATGCAGAAAATCTGGAAATCTTGAAAAATGGACAAATTTCCAGAAACACAACGGCTAACTAAATCAACACTAACTGATGTAGAAAACTTCAACTGGCCCACAACAAAAGAAATAAAGAGATCAGATCACTAGAGAACTTCCAACCAAAAAATTCCAGGGCCAGACATTTTTGCTGGGAAATTCTACCAAGCACTCAGAGAAGAGTGAACACAAATGCTACTCAAAGTGTTCCAGAATATAGAAAAGGATAGCAACCCCCCCTGATCTCATTTTACAAAATGAGCATCATCCTGATGCCCAAATCCAGCAACTGCATCACCAAACTGGAAAATGACCGAGCAATAGCCCTTCGGAACGTAGCAACCATTCTCCACAAAATCCTAGCCAATAGAATGCAACAAAATACTTTTAAAAGAATACATCATGATCAAATGAAGAAAATGTGATCAATGAGGAAAACCATCAATGTAATCCACAATGTAAATAAAACAAAAGAGAACTATTTTCAATGAAATCCAGCATCAATTCCTGATGGAAGCACTCAACAAAGAGAAATACAAGGGAAATTGCTCAACATAAAAAGGCTGTGTACGCAAACCCAACAGCCAATCTTTCACTGCATAGGGAGAAACTGAAAGTGTTCTTCTTACAAAAAGGAGCCAGACAAAGATGCCCTTTATCACCGCTCTAATTCAATATTGTGCTGGAAGTCTTAGAGCTAGTAGACAACAAAAATAAATCAAAGTTATCCAAATTCCTAACAAGTAAAACTCTCTATTTGCAGATGTGGAGAACCTTTATGTGGAGAACCTCAAAGCCTTGACAAGAAACTTTGGGGTACTAGTT